CAGATAACATTTTCTTCGGACACCACATATGTACCTGACTGTATTTCTCAACTGCTTGTTTAAAAAATGGTTAATAGCTCCTGTTTTGCTCTAAAAAATCTAGGAAACAACTGCAGCACAGTTGTTCTAAAAACTGCAGGGATTCTCTCAAGATTATATTTGCGAAGCATATTCCCACTCCTGAGATTATCCTCTTTCCAAAGTCTCCAGACTCTTCACCCTATTCCATTTGGGGCAAATTGAGAAATATACTGAAAATGCAACACTGCAACATCGTACAAAATGAGTCTTTTCTGCTTTCCTCACTCAAATGAGACATTTGGCCAACACAATTGTCCAGGATACTATGACACCAGCAAAGAAAAATTTGGTGAGATTCAACCATGGCATCCACAAAATGCAAATACTTTTTGGGTGCTGATTTATGTGGTTGTGATAACATATCAAAGAGGAGTAAAGTGATGTTCCACTGCTATGCAGACAACTCTCTTCCATATCCTCCCCAAAAGTTCAATTCACAGCCCGATACATTTGCAAAATGGGAGCCGCTGGAGATAGCACTGAAGCAATTCCATGAAATGGCATGTCGGCTTAGAAAGAGAGGAGAGAAACTAACAAAAGAAAGAGCGCTGAATTGAACAATCTGCAAAGCCAGGAGACAGCAAAAATTACTGATGCCTATATACTGTAGTGTGCAGTGGGGTGAGGGACTGCTGGATCCTTGGAAATTGCTTCTCTTGGGGCGAGAAAGCTCATTTAATTCATTCTTCCTGGGAATTGGGTGCTGAGAAGCCTATTATAAAGAAGCTTTCCTGGGCGTAGATTTATTCACAATGTGAGGGGTCCTTTCAAAACAACAACATGATGTCACAAAGGAGCTCTGGTTGTTTAAAAGGCTCTGTACAGGAAAGGATCATATTAAATGTACTGCATTCTGCACTGTCATCGTGACTGGCTGAAAGCAGTTCACTTGCCAAAAAGGAGCGGGGAAAGAAAAAGAAAATCTCCACAGTATGCAAAGCAAAATTTTTGGAAATAACCATATTCCATGGAAATAAAAAATGGAGCAATATGTATTCTTAACTGCTGCCAACATTGTGACTATAACAAGGCAAAAAAATAAAATAAAAAATAAAAGGCGAGATCTGGATCCAGATCTTCATTCAGCTTTGCAGTTTACTGGATGATTTTGCAAAGCCTTGTTTATCAGCCCAGCCCTAAGACACTTGTGAGGACAATGGTCTAAATCTAATACTTGTTGTGAGGACAATGAGCTCAATTTAATTGCCTGTCTTAACCAAGCAGGCTCATTGAATCAATGAGGTTTATGTAATAGCCGATTTATTTATTTATTTTTATTTACAGTGGTGCCTCGCTTAGCGATGTTAATCTGTGCAGGAAAAAAACGTTGCTAAGCGATCTCATCGCTAAACGGATGTAAAAAACCCATAGAAATGCATTAAAACGCCCGCTAAACGAATGTAAAAAACCCATAGAAACGCATTAAAACACCATTAATGCATTCCTATGAGCTTCAAAACTAATCTTAAATGAAAATCCTCCATAGGGGTGGCCATTTTCAGTGCCTCTAAAGCGAGGCAACACAGTGGGTGGCCATTTTGTTTTTCCAATGGCCATTTTGAAACCGCCAATCAGCTGGCCGAAAATGGGGGCTTTGCGGTGATCGCTTCCCTGCGATCATCGCAAAGCGAATTTTCCCCATAGGGACCATCGCTAAGTGATCGCTTTTGCAATCGCTTAAACCCCGTTGCTAAGCGATTTCGTCGCTCAACGGAGCGATTGCTAAGCGAGGCACCACTGTATTTTATTTATTTGATTTGTATCTCACCCATCTGGTCTATGCAACCACTCTAAGCGGCTTCCAATATAATACAAACAATTAATAAAAACACATAGTTACATAAATCTTCAAATGAAAATGTGGAAACCAAGAAAAAAGAATAAAAATAAATTAAAGAGAAATGAGAAGAGAGAATCAAGTATTGACTGGAGGGAAGGCCTGAATAAACATCCATGTTTTTACTTGGCTTTTACAATACAGCAGTTTATTCAGTGGGCCTACCCTTGCTGAGACTAGTGATTAGATTTAGGCCATTGTTTGAGAACCCCGTACATCACCTCTAGCTCATTTGATAATGTGAACTGAGAATGTGAATTGTGATTCCAGAAGACATCAAGGAGAGGTAAGAGAAAAGAAGTAAAGCTATCCTTCGGCTGCTGTTGAGAGATTCACAACAAAACATCTCTCTCATTGACCTTCTACTGAAGCACAATGACCTTATGCATCCTAGTAACCTCTCAAAACTATGTGGATATGTTAATAAGTGGTGCAGAAGAGGGAACATGATCCATTTGTGCTTTCTGTTCCCTGGGTTTCTTTGTCACACTCAAACAAGCCATCCACATCTTCTGAGCTCCCAAAGTAAAGAGAACAGGCAATTTGAGTATTAGACTGGAACAGACATGTAAGAGTAAAAGTGAGAGCAAGAAGCACCACAATATACTTCTTGGTCTTCCACCCTTTGTGTCAAATGGCTTAGAGAAAAATGAACATTAAACAAATATTACCCATTGCTGCATTTATTTCTAGTGAGTTCTAGTTTCTGTGCCAAGCATTCAAGGAAATTTTATTTCCAGAAAATACTTCTTTGGGTTAAAATCCCCTAGGCTAGTGAAAATTTGGATAGTTGTCATCCAGAAAAACATTGGCCAGTGTCCTGTCCATGCTGGCACAATATAAAGTCACACTGGCATAAATGTGCCAGGTGTTATGCTTGGCAATACGTGATTGTGCCATGCACTTGCACAATCAGTCACACATCTCTAGTGTGATTGATTGCACAATGTCCTGGTGGAAGTGCTTAAGAGATCACACTTCTACCTCAGCCTTTGCACAACCACCATGGGAACAACTTCAATTTATGTGCCTGTAGTTGCACAACAAGATATTCACCAATGTTTCCAGGCTTTGGTCATGAAACATTGACTTTCTGAGGAAGAACAAGCAAACACATTGGAAGACTATTATGAATTCTCTGACATAGCCTTATGGGTTATATATTTTATTTATTGACAGTTGACAGTTGGTCAAGATGGTTTTCCTACTGTGATGTTCCACTGCCTGTGAACAGGAATTCTGACATACGAGAAGACAACAAATGTGCAAATCATAACAACAGAAACAACAACAACAATGCTGTGTACAAGTTAAAAATTCAGTGGTCGTAATGGCTTTAATCCTCCAAAAAGAATAGTTCAATTTTGCTTAAGCAGATCAGGACAAATGCATGCCACGTATTAGACACTGTGAGCACAGATAATACAATTTTGGTAGCGATCATGGGACTTCCAAGTATCAAAATTTTCTATAATTTAGAGTTAGTATAGCATTTCAAATAGGGATTGTGAATCGGCAGTAAAATTGGAAAATGATTTTTCAACCACATTGCAGAGAGGGCTGCAGAAACCAAGTCAGGGTGTAATGAATTAGCAGACATGGCAAGAAGGCGTTGGGCTAGGCAGGCTTCTTGGTCATGTCTTTCTGCTCACCTCCTTCAGGCTTGACTGGTCCATCGGACATCACTTTTCTGAGGGCTAGTTGACTTTGATCTTTGTTGTCACTGGCTGGTGGAGGCAGATTGTCAGACTGAGTTCTTTGAATTGGGAGGACTCCTGCTATGCTGTGTCTGTGCTGCTTCCTTGCATGATTAGACTGACCGCTTTTATGTGCTGCTGTGGCAGTGTGGGTGAAATGGAAACCCAGAGTATGTATCCTCAGATGGAACCAGCTTAAATGTTAGTCATGCAAACAGAAGTGGGGAATTTTCTTTTCTGTATTTAAGTAGGTACATGTCTTTGAACACCAAAGAGACATCACATGCACAGCATTAAAAGGTAATTAAACTGGCTGTTTCTTCTTAATTAAAAAAAAGGATGGAGACAAAGAGGATTTAATTTCTTGCTTTCTGAATTTTACAATGGTGACTGTATGGTGTAACAAATAATCATGAAGACAAGAACAATGATGACACAGTTGAATTACATTAATTTGCCAGTGACTAAATCCTCAACCTGTAATTACTTGAAAAGATGATTTATGTGTGGATGGTTATAGAAAAGTTAGAATTGTTAAACCTCACCGCAATCTAACAAAGCAAAAGAAGTAAAACAAAAATCCCAACAAATCTACCCCAATATAGTATAGACCCCAGCAGAGCTAATTATATGGTTGTAACATTACCAATGCCTGATTTCCTTAGTCTTTATGTGTCTTCAACAAGAGTTGTCTTGGCGTATGAAAATATCCCAAGGATGTTGTTTTTAAACAACTTGCTCTACAAGTGGAATCATCAACTCAAATAGTATAGAAGAGGACTAATTTTAATAAGATTGTCTGGTCTTAATTTTTCTGTGTCCCAAATTGTGATATCGTGCAAGGGTTTCTTCGTGTTTGCTTTCTAATACCAGTGATTGAGTTTCCTTGGTCAACTGTGTAAATCTGATCAAGTATGTGATATCTGGTGTCTGGTTGAGGTATTTAGTGACACCAAAGCAATGACCCACAACAGTTTCCCCACAAGATGTGCAGAGCAGTGGAATATTGGACAAATGGAGACAAAGAGAGAAACAGCCAGTTTCACTGCAGTCTATGTAAACAAAAGGGGATTTCTAAAGAGGAGGAATATATTGCTTTTATATGTATTTACACACAGACACACGGAGAGAACATTAAACAGGTGGAACACACAGTGTGTTAAGAGCTGAAAGTAAACCCCAGCAGGGAGAAAACAGCAAAAAGCAAGAGGAGGGGAGAGAAGGAAAGGGATGGGAAAGGATAGGGGAGGGGATGGGGAAGGCAAGAGGCAACAGATGAACATTAAGCTGCCATGCTGAGGAATTTTATTTGCGTCTTTTACTTGGTTGAAGGCGGAGCTGTTGAACAGCTGCTTCAGCAGCAGCGATAGCTGCCCCAGCGTCTTCAAGGTGAGTTTGAGTGACACTGGTTTTGCTTTGGCTGCGGGATGGTCCATGGGAACGCAGGTGTCCTTCAGAGGAAGATTTGGAGCTTCCTGGGCTGCTGTGGGACTTCTCAATGGTAGGCACCTGCATGTCTGATAAATGAGTGAAAATATAACAGCCTCATGGTTATGTATATTGGTACTAGGTTTTACTATCATCCTTCATCACCATTATCTTCTGACTCAGAGTCACAGAATCACGGTAGCCGTGTTGATAGATATTTTTATAGTGAAGTGTTCAAAATTGTCTGCATACATCAATTGATAGAATTCTATTAATAAGCCTATAAGACAGGTGAGGTGAAATTTGTACTAGAATCTTCCTGATTCTCAAATTCAATGCCGCACAAGGTCTCCCAGAGTCTGAAAGTTCTCATGATTTAAGGACAACACTATTTACCCCAGATTCCAGCTTTTCAAACTGTGAACAGGTATGTGACTTATAAGTATCCTTTCCTCAACACAAGTGATGCTAAATGTGAAACCACCCTCAACAGTATGCACACTCTTTGAGCAGAAAATATTCCTAACTTTCCATTTCCCAAAGGAAGGGGTTGCTTTGGCCTGTTAAAGGACATAAAATACAAAAACGTCATGCTGAAGTAAAACAAAGGGCTGTCTATTGCAGTATCCTTTTCCCATCCTGGTCAATTAGATGTACTTGGGAAGCCAACAAGAAGGACATAAAAAGGCAGCTACTCCTCCTATGTCAGAGAAGAATATTATTTATGGTCTTGGAGGAAATATTCATTTTGACTAAAAGCCACTGATGATAGCCCTGTTCTCCATGGGTTTGTCCCATACCCATAGTAGGCAAGTATTACTCCATCCTGTTTTCTGTGAAGAGCTATTTCTTTTTATCTGTTTGTGGCCCATACCAGCCATAACTTTATTCATAACATTGCAGCCAGATAGATGTCAGAGGGTCCTGAAGATCAAGATTCTACAAGTTATCAACCATAGAGATTATTTATTTATTTATTTATTTATTTATTTATTTATTTATTTATTTATTTATTTATTTATTTATTTATTTATTTATTTATTTATTTATTTATACCCCACCT